GAATTACCAAAATTAACACTTTCATTCACTTTACACTAATTAAACTTAAAACACTAATAATTAATCACACTGATTCACTTTATTCCGCTCCGAAGCTTCGCTTGTCTCGCCAAAATCAATACTTCCCCCGATCGCACCTTGCAGCGCCTATAAATACACATTAGCACCGAAACATCCAGAACATTCAAGTAAATACGCGCAAGGCGTCGAAAGTTGGAGTGTCGGCTTCTAGAAGCTTAGTTCTTCGTTTCGACACCAGATGGCGCTGTCGGTTGAAATATTAGTGATGTCATTTTCTGGAAAGTTCCCCCCGCTCTCGACCCTGACACAACATGACGTCAACTTAGGCGCGCAACACTGCCCCCTCCTAACACATGCTCGTCCTAAGCATTATCGGCCCCATAATAACGCGCCAAGCGACTCACATGGATGACCTTAGTAGTCCCTCTTGCGCCTTTCTGTATCAGCTCCGCAATGTCAAGGGCTGTCCTATCTAATGGTGCACCAACATTGTACAATTTCGATGCTCCTCTACTATGTGTCTGAGGTCCCCTCACAGCCGCACAACTTGTACATGTACGACACCAATCCTCGACATCGTCACGATAATGGACCCAGTAAAGCTGTTCTCGGACCTTCAGTAGAGTTCGTTTAACTCCCAGATGGACTCTTGAACGACCATTATGGCACAGCTGTAGAACATTCGGCACTTTAGCTTTAGGGACAACCATTTGCAAACGACAGCTGTCTCCTCGACCATTGTCCCATTTACGGCACAGGACTCCATCCTGAATCAGCAAGCTGTCCCATTGGGCCCAATAGCTTCTAGTGGTCGAACTCATCGCTGAGACGTCGCTCCACTTAGACTTGGTAGCACGGGCCTTCATCCATTCCAGAATCGGCTTGATGTCCGGATCTTCCTGCTGTGCATGTCGTAGGCTGTCCTTCCTCTCGTTGCTGAGGTGGTCTGTCCTGAGCATCCTCACGGATACCACTCTCAATCTTCAGGACAAGGTCTTCTTGACAATGCATCTGTGTTGCCATGAGATTTCCCGCTGCGATGTCTGATAGTAAAAAGAGTTCCGTATTCCTGCTGCTGCTGGGCGGTGATGTTACCCGCACTTCCCTTCTGAGATCATTCACCTTCCCTTTCTAGGGTTCGAGTAGAGCAGCTGGATCGAAGATGGCCCCTTTCCCCACAGCCATAACACCTAAGGCTGTATCCTTTATTGTGGTCGCGAACCGTAACTGCTGCAACCTCCCTAGCGTGAGGGGAACGATGATCTTGCCACCGCCAGACGGTGCCGTTAGCTGCACTACCTTTTCGAGATCGATCAACTTCCCTTTCTACGGTTCGCTTAGGGCAGCTGGATCGAAGATGGCCCCTTTCCCCACAGCCATAGCTCCTAGGGCTGTATCCTTTAATGCGGTTGCGAACCGTAGCTGATGCAACCTCCCTGACGCGATGGGAGCGAAGATCCTGCCGCACGGCTTTCACCTCGAGTGCATGGGCCAAGGCGTCCTTAAGCGTCTCATGGTGCCCGAGCCTCACAGCAGCTCTGACTTCAAGGTCGCGGATGCCGTCGATGAATGTCTGAACCAGGTTTCCTTCAATGAGCGCAAGTACAGACTGGTATGCTTTTCGAACCATCTTCTCCCCCTCAAGGGCCCACTGCTGCAGGTTTTCGTCGCTGCGTTGCACACGATCTTTAAGTTGCGCACGAAAGACGTGTTCCAGGTGAACGTCGCCATATCTCGCCTCCAACGCCTCAAGGAGCTGCTCGTAGGTCACTTTCTTACCGAGAGCTTCCAACATAGTTAAGGCTTGGTCGCGTAGGCCTAGGGTGAGTGCAGTCATGGCTATTCCAGCCGTTCGCCTCCATGACGGCCTCGAACTGGATTTTGTAGGCCGACCAGGAAGAAGTCCCGTCGAACGGCGGCACTTCGAATCCACGTAGCGAAGGTGTTGTAGCTACTACGGGAGCTGTTGTTCCATCCCCAAGTTTGAGGTCGTCCAGCGTTTTCTTCACGTCAGCCATCACGTTGTCAACCCGATTGTTCACTTGGTCGATTCGGGTTTCAGATTTCTCAATTCGGGTTTCAGCTTCTGACAGGCGGTTGTCATGTTGAGCAACCCTATCCTTCACCTCCTTCATCTCCTTTCCGAAGGTAGCGTGAAGGTGCTTCATAAGGAGCATCTGCTCTTCCAACCGACGTGCCTGCCGGACCTGTTTCTCCTGCTGCTCTTTCCTCTGACGGACCTGTTCCTCCTGTCGGCGAGCCTGCTCCTGCAGCACCACCACCAGAGCACCTAAGTCAGGTGCTGCAGATGTAGGAGCTACTGACGGGCCTGCAGCCGGCGGCTGGCCCTCCGACGTCTGCGGCGTTGCACCACCAAATCTTCTTTGGTTCGTCTCCTGCTGGCGTTGACTTCGGGTACGGATACCCTCCGTTTCCTCTTTAGGTAAAATCGGCATGATTTTATCCCACTTCTGACACCAATTGTTACGAGCTTGAGGTTCGTGACAATAAAAATTGCCGATAGAATTACCAAAATTAACACTTTCATTCACATTACACTTATTAAACTTAAAACACTAATAATTAATCACAATGATTCACTTTATTCTGCTCCGAAGCTTCGCTTGTCTCGCCAAATTCAATACTTCCCCGATCGCACCTTGCAGCGCCTATAAATACACATTAGCACCGAAACATCCAGAACATTCAAGTAAATACCCGCAAGGCGTCGAAAGTTCGAGTGTCGGCTTCTAGAAGCTTAGTTCTTCGTTTCGCCACTAGATGGTTGAAAGATTAGTGATGTCATTTTCTGCAAAGTTCCCCCCGCTCTCGTCCCTGACACAACATGACGTCAACTTAGGCACGCAACAATATTAAGACTAGCTTAACTTTACTTAACTTAACTGTGATGGAGGCCCTGGATGTGGATTTACCTATCTAAAAAAAAAAAAAAGCTGCCAGGCAGACATTGTTCTGCCCTTTTCGACGACCCTTTGTCATGTCCTATTAAAAATCCTTAAATTCGCAAAAAAAAATTGTGGTTCACTCATGGGCAAACAAACTATCCTATATCTCAAGTTGGACCAAACTGTATACGGTGTGCAAATTTGATTAAAATCGGTTAAGTAGTTTAGGAGTCCGTTGCGGACAAACAACGTGACACGTAATTTGTTATATTGAGATAGAGATTAGAGATAACCAATACGATTAATTATTTGAAACCATTAACGACATCTATATGTCGGTAACAAAACTAACGAAACAAGATCATCTGTTGATATTATGTTGCATAATTGTTTGCATTTAAGTACATTCTCTATAACAATAAATTAAATAGTAGTGGATAGATGGTGCCTTTATTGTACTCTGTGACCTCTTAATTATATCCTATAACTACTGTGATGTTAATTATTTGAAACCAGTAGCGACATCTATATTTAAGTAACAAAATTTACATAACAACGCCAAATCTTGATAATATCTCGTTTACAACATTTTCCGTTTGAAAGCTATAGATAACACATTAATGGCAACATAAAGGAACCCATAATTCAATTTTATCACGGTGTCGTAAAACTTGACTTTGGGAAGAACCAGAAAAATCTTATGCCTTCTGATAGATGGCGGTATAACCGAAAATTATGTAATTAGAATAAATATACAGACCGACGCAACAATAGGTTCTTCAAGATACAGTAAGCTTATTATGCGTAGACAGTGGCGGATTTACTTTAAGGCCTAGTAGGCCCGGGCCTAGGACGGCCAGCTATTAGGGGAAAAATACACCGTTTTAAACATTGAGTTATACAACACTAGAGGAGCAAACCACATTACCGCGCGTTGAAATAAGTGTAACCACTATCCAAACGCGACGACGTAGCTTTGAAACTAATAATAATTTTAAATAAACATATATCTATCTCACTTACACAAGTTTCGAAAACAATATCGTCGCTAAGATTAGATAAAGATAGACACACAAACATGCAATGGCGGTTTGGTGTGGCTTACTATATGAAATTTTACCTAAAATACGCAACAAAAATGATTTTTCTTAAGCTGCAGTTAATTTTTATATTAAAAAAGTATATTTTATTTTAAAATCTTTATTGCGTCCCCTTAGAAAAAAAGGATACAAAGCTCATCAGATGAATAGAAGTAAACATAATGATGAAATAAAACGTATTTTTATGGTACTAATAAATCAAACAATATAAAATTGGTAATAAAATATAAATAATACAAAATTTGTATGAAATTATAATTAATATAAAATTATTAATATAAAATAGGTAATAAAATATATTTAGTAATTCATGAATAAACTAAATGAATTTGAAGTTAAAACGTAGTTTTAATATAATTTGAAAAATATTTAAAATCAGAGGTAACAAATTAACTTACTACATTAATTATATTATAGTCTCCCATTAATTAATATAGGATATTCACAAATGCGGAAAAGTTGCAACATTGAACCTAAATGGCAATATTCGATAATTTTATTTAATTATTAGAGGTTTTTTACGTTTATATGAAAGCAAGAACTAAAAATTATGTGTTGAACGTGATTCCGCTTGATTTATAACGTTTTTGTGACCTTGAATAGCATTCTTTCGCTACGCATTGACCCATTTTTGGTCGCGGCTCAACTCTGTCGGTGTCACATTGAACACTGAACTGACGTTTGCTAGGCATATGGCTGTGGCCATATGTGCAGTGGCAACGATTTGGCGCGGTTATTACTGATCTAGTGTAATATATAAATCGATGGTTTTAAATTACAAACGCTAGTATGCTGGCTATACGACGGGTAGGCGGGGCGGTGGACGGGGCACGCATTGTTCATGCGTATACGTGAGTTCTGTCACACCATCCGCGCCCCGCACGCCACCACCCACACCCAACCTGGACTCGTCGCTGTGTAACCTAGCATGAATATTACAGAGCAGAGCCTCACGTAAAGTGTTGTATAATGGATGAAAAGAAAAGGGGCTAAAGAAAAAGAAGATAAGCAAGCAAAGCAAGATGTGATTAAAAAAAGTCGAAAATTAGACGATTTCATTGGAAAACCTTCTACAGACGCTGAAGATCATGAGAAAAGTATATGTAGCAGTGCTACGCCAACTGATAGTGCTTCAGTATCTTCAAGTGCTAGTACTTTGGTAGTTTTGGCAAGTGGGTCAAAGGAAAAAGCTGAAAAAGTCCCACCAATACTAAGAGTGCAACCCAATCCGGACCAGAGGCTGTGCAAAATTAGCGACGATCCAGCCAAATGGACAATCGACGATTTCACACGTGATTACATTTGTAAGAACGGAGCCAATCAAAACATCAAAAACGATTTTCCCAAGAGTGAACGGATTTACAAACATAAAGCACGTCACTTGTCCAAACACTTATTCGCACGTCAGTTTGTAAATAGTGAAAAATTTCCGCGTAAGTGGCTAATTTATTCCAAAAGTACTGGAAGTGTTTTTATGGGCCCTGTCTTCTTTTTAATGGCGGGGAGAGTCAGTGCGACAAAAAGGAAGGTTTTAATGACTGAAAAATATCTAGTTATCGAGTATCAGCTCATGAGAATTCGCCTACTCACAAACTGTCTGTCCTGCGCATGAAGGATGGAAGCAACGCCTTAGGCCGCATTGGCCACGTGTATCTACACAATTGGATGAAGAAATAAATTATTGGAGAAACATTTTAAAGAGGGTAGTTGCATGTGTGAAAGCACTTGCATCACGTGGTTTGCCGTTCAGAGGGCACAACGAGAAAATACGTCCATTACAAAATGGGAATTATTTGATATCCTTAGAGCTTATAGCTGAGTTCGATCTATTCTTGGCCAAGCACATAGCACGCTGTGGGAATCCAGGCGCAGGACATACGAGTTATCTTTCCTCAACAATATGTGTAGAATTCATTCGGCTTTTGGGAGAAAAAGTTTTGAAGACAATTTTATTGGAAATATTAACAGCTATGTACATATTTTTCTTTTATAATTGACTCGGCACCCGATATATCCCACGTAGACCAGCTCACTTTTGTAATCAGATCCGTTCTGCCTCATGGATCACATGTAGAACGTTTTCTCAGGTTTATTCCCAACACAGGCCATAAATCACAACAAATAACAAACGCTGATACTTCAACTTTATCTGAATTTGGGATTGATATTTCAAACTGCCGAGGGCAATCTTATGACAACACAGCCAACATGGCAGGCATATACAACGGCCTACAGGCTAAAATAAAAAAAATCTCCTCTACCTTGTACCTTGCTCAGCACACTTGCTTAATTTGGTAAGTGAATGTGCAGCTGAAAGTAGCCAAGAAACTTGCTCGTTTTTTTGACTACTGCAAGGGTTATACTACAGCGTTGGCATCAACTCAGCGTTGGGAACTTCTTCAAGCCCATTTTACCGTCAAAAGTGTATCATCGACTCGTTGATCAGCTAGTGCGGATGCGTGCAAAAGTTTACGCGAATCGTGAAATGAAATCCAAGGTGCGTTAGTCTCCGTTGAAAATGACACACAACAGAACAGAGCCGTTATTTGCGATGCGAGAGGTATTCGTATGAAAATGGAACGTCTGGAAACGGCCTTTGTGACAGTATTTTGGGGATATCGACTGGATCGCATGAACTCCACAAGTAAGAAACTCCAGAGTGTGGAAATTGACGTTACCATTGTCATAGAACTGTTTAACGTACTAATACAATTTATTAACAAAAAACGTAAAAGTTTCGAAGAATTCGAAAATAAGGTCAAAAACCTGTCCTTTGTACAGGAATATGAAAAAGATTTTCAACGCAATTGAAACCGTAAGCTACTTGCTGGTGAGACTAATACAGGTGAAGTGTTTTAACTAACGAATAGCCGAGAAAGCCTCAGAATTTCGACTTTTTTGATGATAATTGATACATTAACAAATGAATTCCAAAAACGACGGGACGCTTGTAAGGAACTTTATAACAAATTTTATTTTATTACTAACCTGACGAAACTAAGCACTTCAGAAGTCGAAGAAAAAGCCAGAGCATTACAATTCAATTCAAATTTCTACGGACATAGAAGAAAATTTTCCAGAAGAATGTCTCCATTTTCGTACTCGCAGTTTAAAAAATGAGGATCGGAAGAGTGCTGTCAGTTTGTGGGAATGGCTACGAACTGAAGGTCTTGAAACCATTTACTCAAATGTGCATATCGCTCTGCGTATGTGTGTGTGTACTCCCGCCAGTAATTGTTCAGGAGAAAGATCATTTTCTTGTTTGCGACGAGTTAAACATTATTTACGCACAACAATGATAGAGCAAAGATTAAACCATCCTGCTTTACTCAACATAGAAGCGGATTATTTAAGAAAAATGGATTGCGAAGAGTTAATTAATGATTTTGCTGCACTTAGGCGTAGACGCGTTTTGTAACACGTTATATACTTATATTATTTGTTTGTGAATAAATCTGAAGCTATAAAAATTTTTATTTTAATATGAATCACATGTTAGATTGTTGCTGATAGTTTTTTTTTTAAATAAATAATATAACAAGAAAATTATATCCGCTCGTGGACAAATTTTTCTTCTCATATTATTATTTAAAAATTTATCAGAAATAAATCTGAACTTAATTAAAACATAGTTTTTTGAAACCTATTTACAGTGACGGTACATAATTGTATCTTGTTTATTCACGAAGAGAGCGTTTATGAAATAGGGGCGGCTTATACTACATAGCCTAGGGCGGCCACGACTGTAAATCCGCCACTGTGCGTAAATCAGACAAAAACTAATAATTACTTACATCGGGATCGGGAGTCGGGACATCAAACATCTCAGTTCCCTATGAACATAGGTGCTGCAAACGCAGAGAATTAAAAAATAAAAATTAAACGCAGTAAACTCCGTGAAATTAATTTTATAATAAGGTTTAGGTTATAAAATAAAAGACGAATTTAATTAACAGTAGTATATTAAATTAAAAAATAATTAAAAGTTGCTAAATATACAGAAAATACAGTACAACCTTAGTATAACGAATCTCAATATAACAATTTCCATGATTTGACAAAAGAGATGAACTTGAGTCTATACACGTTTGAGCCAGGCGTGTACAGAGTTCAAATATATCTTATTTCGAAGATTTAAATTACAGAGTGTAGAGGTGAGGAGTACAGACTCTGTATAAAGTGTCCGTAGGAAAGCGCTAAATAAGAGTGGCGCCACTGTAGCTACAGTCTAAATTTTAAAGAACTTTTTATAATTTTTTTATTGCATAGATTATTGTAGGACAGACTTTCGTCATATTTCACTTTCATTACGTCAGATTATGTTCAAATGTTTTCTTTTTATTTAACAACATTCAGTAGGTTTTCTAAATATATTTCTTTTATTTAATATTAATCTCTACAAATTCGCTACAATGTTTCAATGTTGTAATTGTTTTGATATTGAAGGTTATTTTATCACAAAAGTAGCATTCATTATCTATTGCCATAGACTAAATGCAGTAAAATATTTAAAAACATTTCGTTTTTGCTATACCTAGTAAAATCATTAGCTTTGGTCTTTTTAAAAAATGTTTTTATGACTGTCCCGTGTATCCTCTGACTTATTTGCACCTCTATAAATCTTTAATAAGATCGCAACTGGAATATGCGGTAGCTATTTGGTGTCCGTATTATAATAAATATATAGATAAAATAGAATCCATTCAGAAAAAGTTTTTGCGTAGTGTAAATTACAAGTGCAGACGAGTTAAATTACCCTACTATCAACTGCTGGTTGAATATAAGTTACTAAAATTAGAATCCAGACGTCAACAGATTCAAGCTATGTTACTGTATGATATTTGTCATAACAGGTACGATAGTATAGAACTAGTTAAAATGATACAATACAGAGTACCAAATAGGCCATTGTGTCGCAGAGTTCGTGCCAAATACACATTTTTTACTAATAAATGTCGAACCAACGTAGGTAAAAGAGTCCCCTATATATATGTTGTTAAATTGCTTATAATAATACTATCAATAATATTGACATTTTTGCTCACAAGGTGGGTTTTATAAAAAAGAATTACTTTCAGTACTTAGAGGAGAATGAGTTTGTATAATTGTCATTATTACAATAATTACTTTATTTTTATTTTTTATTATTGTCGTTATTTGAAAACACAATCACTGTATTATATGCAAAGTTGTACGCTATTCTCAATCTAAACATTTGTTATAGTAATTGGTGGTCAACAATGTTGGTTGACACTATTATATTATATTTTTGTAGTGAATGTATTTTAGATTAATAACTTTTGTGTAAACCTGTTTGTAATGATTCTTCAATTAATTGAAATAAATAAATACAAAGTATAATTAACCTCTGCATAAAGTAGGTATTCTACCAATCCATTTAAAAAGAATTCATGTCTCGACAGGCACAGACACGTTCACTTAATCATAAGATATATAACTCAGAAATTCAAATTGTCATAATAAATTAATAATTAATGTTGTAAGACATTCATCACACTGTGTTTTATTTTTTTTCGTTTGCTTACTTTGCTAGAATCTAACCTCTATTTAACAAACCTCAAAGTAACCAATTACTTGGTATAACAAATATTTTCTAATCCCTTTCAGACTTATTATATCAAGGTATCACTGTATATAAATGTCATAACTCGTCTCTTTGGAGTGTGGCAATGTTTAAATGCTTCGGTTCCCAGTCTTCTTCCACAATTCTCGTATCAATGATCCGCTTGTACACAAGAGCTGACATCCTCGCCGTTCTTTTCTTATCTTTTGACTCAAAATCAACTTCGTAGAGGCCGAAACGTTCACTAAAGAAAAAGAATGGAATTTATAGAAATCTATTTAAGTTATTTGTCCGCTTTTTCATGTAATATGCGTGACCAACGAGCACAGTCTACTATAACAAGTAGATGCTGTGGCCATGATTATGAATGAAATCAAAATGTAGCTACATTGTCACCCCAGAGGTCTAAGATGGAATGCTTATTGCCAGTAAAAGGGTTCTCTACACTCACCACACGAAACACACCAGCATTATGATACAATTTTACGCCCGTATTTCATGGGAGCGTGTTCCTGCCCCGTTCTAGCCAACCCATTCGATATGCAACCATAATATAGCAAGGCTTTACCACGTTGGGAAACTTATGTGTTGTGTTTTTCGAGGGGAACGTGGACGACGGCGTGCTAGAGCACAGTGAGGTCGGCATGTGGGTGGATATTGCGAGTACTGAGATATAAGAATAAGTGATAATCATAACAGTCCTTCAGCGCTTCTCGACAGACTTTACATGATTTGGATTTGTTAACTATTTGCCGATAGCCTGTTAAAAAAATAGGACTTAAAACTACTACTGCTGTGGCTAATATAATTAGAGCTATGTGCAACATATTACAATAAAATATAAATTATATTAATAGTTAGAACACCTGAGTCAGGGTATCGGAGACAAATATAGTCAGAGTAATATTTTAATAGCAAGAATCACCTTCATCATAATCATCACCATTTGATGTGTTAGAAAGATAGCGGTATGACGACATCAAACAATGCATCTGTGATGGCGACCAAGAGAGGGAAACGCGCTTTGGAATCTGTATTTTGGAGAAACAGTCCCATCTCTATATCTCAAAATTATTAGTTTGTCACCCCTACATTATTCATAAATGATAAGTTGAATGAGTTTGTCATGTGTCTGCTGAGCTTTTCTTTAATTCTTTAACTTTTAGGAAAATCCATAGTTGGTTTATCCATTTCTTCCAATCTAATTAATATAAGATACTCGTATAACGTTGATTTCAGAAATAAACATTAATCTTTAGACTTTTCTATCAAATTTACTTCTCCCACTATGAAATATTTACTCTCATTCATAAGTAACACCGCCCTAGCGGCAGAATAAGTCGTGGATACCCCTATTAGCTCACATAAGTAAAATTTCATCCTAGTGTTTATGAGGCAGCGCTGTATCGCATCAAACCTAAATTGCGCTATTAAAATTCCGAAGTACTGCAATACTAACTGCTTTATACTACCAAAACGAATGTTGGTCAGTTCCCGGATTGAATACTTTGCCCGGAGGGAGATCTCCCCTTTTTCGTCTACGGTTAAATTAAAAAAAATATGAAAGATAAAAACGAACAATTTTAAATCCAATGATCAAGGTGGTAAGACTCGTTTTCTAACTTTAAGGAGTCCGTCTAAGTACCATTTGCCTCGTTCTGCCACCAAGTACAGTCCGCGCACTCTATATTGCCCGCACTAAAGTTAGTAGCGATTGGCTGCGCAGATATAGCTTTTTGCAAAAAAAAAATGACTTAATCTACATGAATAAAAAAGTTTTTGTTTCTGTTTCTGTTTGGAACAAAATAGTGACCAGAGGAGTGGGTGGACAGGCGGTAACTAAAACTAGAGATGCGAGTACGCATAATGCGCGGTTACGCGGTTAATCGATTATGATTCTATTTTATATTATATTTTTTTATTATATCGTGTATTTACTAATTCAAACTTTTATCGCAATTCCTTATTAGATACCATTGTTTTATTGAAAAGATATTTTCAATTAATTCTATAATCGATATAAACAAAACAAACTGTTTCCCTAACCAATCTTAGGAGTGAATATGATGTGCCAAACTAAACATCCTTATCGACTGGCGTCTGTACAAGAGCGAATGTCAATGCGAATGTGTACATTTCTTAGAAGATAGCCTACTATTCTGTTTTCACTATGGTTCAGAGGAGTTCAGTCACATACACACGGGCAGAAGAATTATATACACAATCTGTTCAAAAAGTATCGCAAATTTTGTGTTTTTTGAAAAAATATTTATTTATTCATGAATCTATTTTCTCCTTCTATTTTGACTCCTTCAAAGTAATCCCCCCTCGGATATAATGCACTTGTGCCAACGTTTTTTCCAATCCTCGAAGCACTTAAAAAAAATCATTTTTGATGATCTTCTTTAGTTCCCCCCTTCGATGCCATCTTTATCTACTCAATCGTGGCTTAGCGTCGTCCTTTCATGGCCTATTCAGTTTTGGGAACAGTAAAAAGTCACAGGGGGGCGAGGTCTGGGGAATACAGTGGCTGTGGGACCATTACTGTGTTGTTTTTGGATAAACATTCGCGCACAAGCAACGACGCAGGGGCGTTATCATGGTGCAAAAGCCAGTTTTTGTTCTTCCACAATTCCGGGCGTTTCTGGCGGATTGCTTCGCGCAAATTGCGCGTAACTTGCAGGTAATATTCCTTATTGACCGTACTCCCTGTGGCAAGAACTCATTATGCACCACGCCCCTGCAATCGAAGAGAACTGTGAGCAAAACTTTCACGTTTGACCGAACTTGGCGCGCTTTTTTCGGTCTTTGCTCATGCGGCAGCTTCTATTGGGATGATTGAGCTTTGGTTTCTACGTCAGAACCATAAACTCATGATTCGTCACCAGTTGTGACCTTCTGGAGCGCATTTGGGTCGTCACGGACCGAGTCCAACATCTCCTGAGCAATGTTAACGCGATGCTGTTTTTGACCGAAATTGAGTAATTCTGGCACGAATTTCGGGGCGACTCGACTCATGCCCAAATCATTACTAATGGCATGAACTAATGGCATGAGCCAAACGATATGTTTAGGTCCTCAGCAACTTCTTTAACGGTGATTTGACGATTGGCCAATAATATTTTCTTTACTTTATCAATGTTATCGTCTGTTGTTGATGTGCTCGGGCGTCCGGCACTCTGTTCGTCATTCACATCTTCTCGGCCCTCTGAGAACATTTTGTACCACCGATAAACGTTGCTTTGGTCCAAGTTAGCTTCAACATATGCAACGGTCAATATTCGAGAATGCGTCTGCGCACTTTATTTTGTTTTTCACACAAAATTTAGTACAGATTCTTTGATCATTTTTTGGAGCAGGCAAAAATCGAAGACGAGCCAAAACACATCCAAGCAAAACAGCTGTCAAAAATTAACATAACATTCAAAATGGCCCATCTTATCAGTATAAGTAAGGGACATGAGTACCAACATAAGACTACAAAAAAAATCAAAAATCAGCCATACGTAGCCCGCAGAAATTCAAAATTCGCGATCCTTTTTGAACAGACCTCGTATGTATAGAGATAACCATTACGGTTAATTATTTGAAATAGTAGCCACATCTATATGTAGGTAACAAAACTAACGAAACAAGGTCGATCTGTTGATATTATGTTGCGTAATTGTTTGCATTTAAATACATTATCTATAACAATAAATTAAATAGTAGCGGATAGATGGCACTTTTATTGTACTCTGTGACTTCTTAATTATATCCTATAACTATTGCAATGTAAATTATTTGAAACCAGTAGCGACATCTATATTTAAGTAAGAAAATTAACATATTAACACCAGATGTTGATATTATCTCGTATGCCCAGTTTACAACATTTGCCGTTTGAAAGCCATAGATAACCCTGGATAACACATTTATGGCTACGTAAGGGAACCCATAATCAAATTTTATCACGGTGTCGTAAAACTCGACTTTGGGAAGAACCAGAAAAATATTATGCCTTCTGATAGATGACGGTATAACCGAAAATAATGTAATTTGAAAAATATCCAGACCAACGCGACAACAGGTTCTTCAAGATACCTACTAGTACGCTTATTATGCGTAGATCAGACAAAGATTTATAATTACTTACATAGGGATCGGGATTCGGGAGTCGGGACATCAAACATCTCAGTTCCCCATGAACATAGGTGCTGCAAACGCAGGGAATTAAAAAAAGTAGAAATTAAACGCGGTAAAATCCGTGAAATTAATTTTACTCAATGTGTAGTACTACTTAATATAAGTTTAATTAAATACGGTTTAGGTTGTAAATTAAAAGACGAATTTATTAACAATAGTATATTAAATTATAAATTAATGAAAAGTTGCTAAATATACAGAAAATACAGTACAACCTTAGTATAACAAACTTCAATATAACAATTTCTATGATTTAACAAAAGAGATGAACTTGATTCCATACATAAGCTTCGGCCCGGTGTGAACAGAGATCAAATAGGTAGGTATATATTAATTCGAAGATTTAAATATTTGCTTCTTATGTCAAAAAATCATATTCTTACCTCTATACTCAATGATATTATTTTAGGACCTGTGTTTTCGAGTTTTGGCGGGAACTTAGCCGTAGATCAGGGGTCGGCAACCTGCGGCTCGAGAGCCACATGCGGCTCTTTGGATGTGAAGCTGTGGCTCTTTAGTTCCTTATGCAAATATTATTTATTTTATACAATAAAATATTTAAAATCGTTCTGAATCGATTAACGAGTAGGTATTAGGCACCATTTCTATCTCTCAGCCACTTGTACTCGCTTTTCACCGCACCCCTCCCCGGTGACACGCGTCGTCACTGTCGTAAGTCCGTCGAAAGCTCGGAAGTTCTTGAATGTATATATTTCTTTTTTTTTTTCAAAAATATTTATTTATGCAAGTACTATTATGCTTGGCAAGATAAAAATTTTGTGGCTCTTTAAATACTTTGAAATTTTTTAAATTGTAGGTGTCGTATATGGGGATAGAGGGAAACTGAAACAGAATATAGGCAGCAGCATTGTTCTTTCGCCATCCCGCCTTTCCAGCGTGGCAACTATAGCAAAAGCCTACAAGACAATCTAAAGGGGAGGCCAATTAAGGTGCTACATCTAGCGAACGACCTGCAGCATTCGGTTCTATACATTCCATGCGCTCTCGCTACAATAATATATCGCGTAAGAAATTCGCCCAAATTTTAAAATATTTTTT